AGTGTGTGCAAAGTACAGGCAGGAAGGCTCACCTATAATGGTGGCCTCAGAAGCCAGGACACACCCAAGACTCCATCTCACTGGGCTTTAGTGTTCATACTGACACCAGGTTAGATCTCTCAATTCTTTTCCATCCCTGACATAAAACCTTGCCTACACAAGTATTACAAACCCTTGTATGCTTTGTTTTTTAAAAATCTAATTTAGATTTAATTTTTTAAATCTAATCTAATTTAAAAATCAATTTTTTTCACTGTTAATCTCTTACATGGGAGCCCATTTCATTCTTAAAAAAAAACTCCCTGTTTGGTACCATTTTACAAGCCCTAATGAGAGAAGAGATCTGATGATAATCATCAGTGGCTAATACATGTAAATCCATGGCTGATTCATGTCAATGTATGACAAAACCCACTGCAATATTGTAAAGTAATTAGCCTCCAACTAATAAAAATAAATGAAAAAAAAAAAAAGAACCAGACATTATGAGCTTCCAAATACACTGTCCACCACCATCTAAGAAGCAGCTTTTTACCCCCACCCCCAAAAATCTCTCAAATCTGAATATAATCAAGGCCCTAGATCTAATTACCAGTTTATATGACAACAAAGTAAAGGATGCAGCAGAGATGAAATCAGCAAAAGGCAGGCTGTGGGGAACTAATGGACAAAGGACCCCACTTTCTTCAACAAAAAGGTGACATGGAGGAAGAACCTAGAGATCCAGAGACCTGAGACATACCAACCAATCACATTGTATGTACTTTCTCTGGGTGCAGATTCAAGCAAACAAATTGTGTTAAATAATAGAAGAGTATTAAGAGGAAGTGAACACTGACCATATAGGCAATTATTTTGAGGAATTACAACTATTATTATTACTATTAGGAGTGATAACAGTATTTAAGATATCCTTTTATTGACACATATTGAAATTTTTATGGATGAAATTATATATCTTGGGTTTGCTTCAAAATAATATGAGGGAGGATTGTGGAGTGGTATAATTACAATAAGCTGGCCACAGCCTGCTAACTGCTGGAGCTGGGTGACAGGTACGCAAGGGTTTATCATACTATTCTCTCAATTTGTGTATGTTAGAAAATTTCTATAATAAAGAATTGATAAAAATCTTTTTGAAAAGGCACCTTTAAAGTTTCATAAATTCTATGAAAGGTAAAGATGCCTTCAAATTAAATACACAGCAGAAAGTTTCTGCTACTACCTGACAATTAATTTTCTTAGTCAAGATAAAATGTTTAAATCAACATATCAACCAGTACAATTGATGCAACTCTTTCCTTAATAGATTAGATTACCCTGAATAAAGATTGAAAGTTTACAGATTTTCATAACCAACCACCTATACAAAAATACATTGGGGTAGGACTTCTCTGGTGGTCCAGCGGTTAAGACTCCCTGCTTTCACTGCAAGGGGCACAGGTTAGATCTCTAGTCAGGGAAGTTCTGTGTGCCAAGTGGAGTGGCAAAAAAAAACAAAAAACAAAAAAACATCAGGGTTAAAGAAAAGCAAGTTCAAGCAATTTGCATTTGTAATTCGAAGCTAAAAACGCCTCCTCAGAGTCAGAAAGGATTCAGCAAGCATTTACTGAACACCTACTATGTGTCAAGCTGTCTTGGCACACTTCCTTATAAATATAATGCAACGTTTCTTCAATTGCACTCATCCATTGGTTGACAAAACTCAACTGAGTAACTATCCCTAAAAACATTCTAGAAGTAGAAATGTGAAGAGTACAAATTTCAAATGAGTTTCTGTACATACAGGTGTGTGTATGTGCATAACAAAGAGATGTATAAGGATACATGAACACAAAGTTTTCTTCGTATATACCAGGATACAGGTTTTACCTATCTTTTATATATACACACACACACACACACACACATATATACACTTAAAAAAAAAAAACCTCTCCTAATGTCTACTAGCATTTTAATTGAGAAGACTTTTATATGATGTCACTAGGGTCCCTAAAAATTACCAAAATGGTATAAAACATCATGAGTTTGACTTTCCCCCAGAACCATGTATTAATTATGCAATCTCTGTGAAAACTAACTGGTCTAACAAAGACCTTTATTAACTACAGCTCAGCTCATACCAGAGTAAAAAGCTAGATATCTTTTGTGCATTAACTCCATTTGTCTTTCTCAGTTCTACGATAAAAGTAAATATGCATGTATTATAGCTAGACAAGATATTGTCCCTGGGGGAAACTGCACAAAGGGTTCATGGGACCTCCCTGTACAGTGGGGGTTTTTTTGGCAACTTCCTATGACCCTACAATTATTTCAAAACAAAACGATTTTTCTTTTGTGAAGTAAAGTACACTGAAACTAACTCCATTCCCTGAAGATAGAGAATAAGCAGATTCACTCTAAAACCAAAGTTTCCATGTAGACAAATCCTACCAGTATACATAATCTCTGCATGTGATCTGATCTAATTATATATATTTTACCATCTCAGTGTAAAGAGCTACTGAACAGCCTGTCAGAACACTGAGAGATGGCATTTCTCTCTTTCAGGGGATGATCTCAATTTAGCAAGCCCTAGGGACATGATAATCACATCTGCTTTCCTCTGAAGCCCTCAAGACCACCACCGTCCCTACATCCCTCTGGGACTGGGCTCTCTCCGCCTGTGTATCTCACTGTTCCTCACACACCTGGCTAGCTGAGCACCTGCGCTACTTTTCTCAACTGCCGCTGGTTTGTGCACCCTCTTTCCTCAGTGCGAGCTGACTGAAGGCAGGGACCCTAACTGATCTGTCTCTGTATGTCTTCAGTGCCTTGTACAGCATCTTAGTAACAAGGGGGGCTAAATAAAAGTTGAATGAAGAATAGAAGACAAGGAAGGATGGATGGATGGATATGGACAGCCAGAGAGATGGGGAGAAAGGCCCTCTTCTCCTTAACTGCACATACAGGAAGATTACAAAAGCCATGCATTTCTTTCACAAGCATCCATCCTTGTTAGGAAACCAGGCCTCTCTGGAGGCCTCAACCCCCTCACCAGGGACAGATCCTGTGAAAACTAAACATGGCTGCTGGAATTATTAGGCTGTCCTAGGCCTGAAATGGCAGACTTCTAACTGATTGGGAGTGCTGGGGACAGCAGTCTCTCTGAGAGAAACAGCCCTTCTGAGCGTGTGAGGAAAGGCTAAGAGATGGGGGAAACCATTCCACTCCGTCTCCTAACCTCCTGCCTCAGAAATTCCAGCACCATGTGCTTTAAGCTGAGGAGGCAAGCAGGGTCAAATGTCCACATTATTGACTTGAAGGAAGAGGAGACGGTTTATTGCAACAGTTCCAAAAACACAGGAGGCATTACTTTTCTGAGCTCCAACTCTGGTCAAGAGGTCAAGGTTCTCCCAAAGATGCGGTCCAATACCTCTCCAGATCTCCTTCTCTGCATCAGTAGAGGAATCTCAAAGTAATTTCCAAATGTAGAGAGAATGCTTCAGTGAGCACAGTACCAACTGCTATGTAAATAGCCTCAACATACTAACAGTCTATGTCCCAAGAGTTAATCATGATTAACAATGAAGGTGACTATTTATAGAGGATTTTCTATAGGTGAGGTGGTTTGTATACATTCTTGCTATTGGAACTCATAAATAATGGTATGATGACCTGATTTGGTCTTCCCTCCAACAAAGCCCATCTAATGCACAATATCCCTGAGATATAGTATTGTTATTACAAGACCCAATCACAACACTAATCCAGTGTCTGAAAGGAGAAGCACAGCACTGAGAATTCCTGTGTGCAATTTGGAAGCCATAGCAAATGCCACTCTCATGGGGTCAAGGACACTTCCTGCTGTCCTGCCCATACTCATCAGCTGGCCTATGTTAGCAGAGAATTTCCTTATCCCAAACCAGAGAACCTAGGAGTCTTAAGATGCTTCCTTTGCTCCCAAATCAGCTCCTCTCTTTCCTATCACAGATCCCAGGATGGAATGAGGTTCAGGGGTAGGGGCCCCAGTCTTTGGACGCCACTGAGCCAATCAGCCAGCGCCAGTAAAACACCAAGTGAAGGAGGTGGCCCAGTATGACTCCAGAAATGGCTTTACCTCCATACTGGGGATGTGCCCGGTCATGCCACTGGTTGAATAAAAAGAGACACAGCTAAGTGGGAAATACCACTCAAGTCAGACTTTTCCAAATGGAAAAGAAAGCAATTTAAGAATTATTTTGACAGGACTGAGCTTTCCTTTTCTTGTTAGGCAGGAACGTCTGCAGCCCTCGCCAGTGCCAAAGCGCAGGGACACAGTCGTGCCTCTACGACATTCACACGCATGACTGCGGCTCGAGACGGCACAAGAGGTACACAGACACTCACATAAGGAAGTTGGGTTAGCGACTGGGAGAACAAAGCTTCCCGGGCCTGACCTTTTGCTCCGTGAGCTGGAAAGGGCAGCAGAGAAGCTGGAGGGAGGAGAGCTTCAGGCCCTGGAGAAAAAAAGACCTGGAGTTCGTTCTCACCATCGCAGTAGGACACGCATGCTCACCTGATGTGGGGCTGGACCCTCTGCTGGCCTGGCCCACATGTGTCCTGAACATCATCCTTCTCCCCATCAATGATGTGTGTGTGTGTGCCATTTTCTCTAAGGTCCTCAAGAGATGCTGTGAAATATCAACAATCTCATTCGATTCATCTTAAAAATAATTATCAACTTGCAGGGAGTAACACTTGAGAAGTATACAGAGGTACGGCAACCTGGGCCATCCATGGGGGAGTGGGAAGGTCAACAGTCACCTATCCAAAGACATTAATAGTGTGTGTCTGTGCATGTCACACACTTACAGTGATACACCTACTAAAGCATGGTGGGTTAAGGCAGCAGAGCCAGGGAAATACTCATGAGCTTCTGTCACAGTCGCTCAGCACAGGCCATGGAACAGAGGGGAGGCTAGAGTGGCACCCGTGGGTGCCCCATCCCCTCCTGTGTCGTGGGAGGACTTCCTTACTTGACTTGGAGAGCTGATCATCCTGGGAAATGCCGAGGTCATCCGACTCCCCTGACAGCTCCTTGATGAAGTTGGAAGGAAACATTCCAGTCTTTCCATTGAGAACACCTTCCCACCATCCTTCTTCTACCTGCACACATGTGAACAGAAGAACAGAGGCAAGACTCAGGTTAGACATAGTTGTTTCCCAGTTTTTTGTCCCATCTGTAAAGGGCCAAGTGCAAAGCCCATGCAGGAAGATCTGTGGGACCCAAAGCTTCCAAGGGAACAGGGGATGAGACGGCAGACCTCACAGAGCCTCGAGATTCAGGCACAGGAAGGGGCTTAACCTAGGGACCATAAACGCAAATGGAAAAGAATTAACACTTCATTTTCACTAACCTCCAACTGAAATTTGCCATTTCCTTTGATTGGGAATATAGGTAACATACCAGACTAAGAGAAGAACCTGTGATTTGACACCAACCAAATAATATTTTCATATCCCATCACAGATACTGTGGGTATTTCAAGATATCGTTTGCACTCATCACTACTTTGAAGTGGTGGTAGTTAACACAGCTGCTGGGAGACTTTGTTATTTAATGTATTAATAAGAAATTATTTATAACAAACAAGTACACATAGGTTAATATATCAAAATATACCCTTTGTAATCTTATGTGTTTTATGTGTGTGCATGCTCAGTCATATCCAACTCTTTGTGACCCCATGGACTTTAGCTCATCAGGTTCCTCTGTCCATGGGATTTCTCAGGCAAGAATAGTGGAGTGGACTGTCATTTCCTCCTTCAGGGGATCTTCCTGACCCAGGGATCAAACTTGCGTCTTTTATATCTTCTGCGTTGTCAGGCAGATTCTTTACCACTGTGCCATGTGTGTTTTATATTATGCATATATTGCTAGTATTTAAAAACTGAGAATGGCTTTCCCAGATTACCAAACCTAACCAGACAGTCTAACAAAAACTTCTTAAGAATCTATGGAATAAGAACTTGATCAAAAGGCAGAAGGACTCTTTGCAGGCTTCTGGAAGATTTCAGACTACCCTGAAATGAACTGATATGGGATGAAGGGAGGTAGGGAGGACAGTCAGACTGCAGTGATCTGGGTGGGAGAATGAAGGCTGGATCTGTGGAGGGGCGACAATGAACAAGGCATGGACAGACCTGAGGATCTCTGAGGGATCTGCTGGTCTGCAGTAGCCAACTGGCTGAGCTGAGTGAGAGAAGGCTTAAAAAAATCATCCTAAGATTCTGTGATGAAGCCACTAATAGAAGAGCAGAAGTGAGAATGGTGAACTGGCTTCTTGGATGAAAATAACAGAGCATTTTGAGAACTAGGAAGTATTCAGCTACCAGTAATGGTGTGGTATACTAGAAAGAGACCTAGAAACTTTGAAAAAAAAATTTAACCATGTACATGTATGACCTAATCAAATCAACAAATATAATTTAAAAGCTTAAATAATTAAAACAGAAAAGAAAATTAAGAGTCAAAAGCCCAGTTCAAATCATATTCTGAAACTTAGCAATTGTGTGACCGTTCAGATTTCCTATTGACTGAACCCTGACTTTCCTATCTGTTCAATGGCATGATGGGTACACTTGATGTGTTAGAAATAGATGTATTATGATTCTACACTAGGGGCTAGGGACACAGGACTGTACAGGACAGGTTCTTTTTTTTCCCCTCAAGAAGGTGACAATCAATCAAGGTAGAGGGCATGTGGTTTAAAGATGGCAGAGGGTGGGAGCGACCAAAACCTAGCAAATGCAAGGTAAAGAGATAAGAAAACACCATGACCTAGCACAAACCAAATGTGTTACACAAAGCTGAGCTCATTGAGATCTGGGACGCTAAAGGGAGACTTGGAGAAAAAAAGGAATCAAAGTTAAGGTTGGCCTTAAAGAGTAGAAATATCAGGTGTAAGTAGAGGATGGTGTGCGAGATATTCAGGGGGACGCTGACGGAGCCTCAGAATGGATACAACCAGAATGGCATTTAGGGCACGTGTTAGGGAACTCCTGGGGTATCTAGACTCACAGAGTGGACATTACATCTGCGTGATCACAGAATCTTCAGGAAAGAATCCAGACAATAGCACCTATGCATGACCGTCCCTATTCAAGACCAAATCACAGCGTTTAACAGCATTTCCGCTGAACTCATTCCATGTTTCTATGTCAACTCTACTGATACATATTATTCTTTCAAGGAGCTTTTTATAAGATTAGAATGGTTAGGAAGCTTTGTCATAACCCTGAATATAAACAGTTGCATGGGGTCCTTTGTGTTTGTCCTGAATAAGGAACCATAAAATGACCTTCTTTCTCCCAGAAATCACAGGCCAGGAGGGAGAGACCAAGGGCACGGACCACAAATGAGCAGCTCCTGTTGCCATCCCCAACAGCGCAGGGCAGCTGGGCCAATTCTGTTTGATTCACTTTGACAGTATCTAAAATGCTTCCATTTCAGTAATAAGCGGCTCCAGCTCGAGATCCCTGAAGGAAGTGCTCCTGATGTGTGGGCTCTGCAGGCTGCCTACTGGGAAAACAGGGGTGTCTTCACCTCACCACACCCCCATATGCCCGCAGCCCTGTCTCAGCACAGTCTGAAAGGAGTAGCCAAAAGGGAACTGGCAGACGCCTATCATTAGCCTTGCAGCGCACAGAGGAGCAGACAATCAAACTACTGCTCATCGCCCAGGGGGGTACACTTCCTATTACAGGCGCCATGGAGGGTGTGTCTGTACCCAGCAGCAGAGAGAGCTGCTCAGTGCTATTTCCTCCTACAGACTACTGCTCTGGTTGCGAGATTCAGGCTGGAGATAGGAGACAAATGATCCCCACCCTCACATGATCCCTCTTCAGCAATATTCCAGTTCAACTTCCAGCAGCAAGATGAGGACACTGAAGCCCATGAGGATTACAGTCATTCATGAATGGTCGGATGGATAAATGAATGGATGGCAGGGAAATCAACCAGGAGAAATCCTCCATGGGGGCCTATGAAGCCCTGATTCCTCCACAAAAGGAATTTTCCCTTCTGTGAGGAGCAAAAGGGACCAGGAGACCCTGACTATACTGCCCACTGTTCTTAATTAGGTAACACCACACTCAGGCCTGTGTGCCCCTCCCAATTTCACCAATATTTAATGAACGCCTATTTTGCATTGCCCTAGGACCTTGGGACAGATTCATCAGTGAATAAAACAAAGATTCCATCCTTGAGAATCTTCTACAACAAGAGTGGAACATGCAGAGTCTGCACACCACCTGCTTAGAAATCAGGTTGCTTATGCTTATATTTCTATATTTAAAGAGAGAAAGAAATGCATCTGTTTGTAATAAAGTAAGGATTATGGATGTTACCAAAGGCTTATGATTTCTTTCCCAAAGAAAGTATTCAAGTGGGACAGACACCAACCTTCTCTGCACCAACATACACATATCAGCAGGCTTCTGCAGGCCTGGGCTTCTAGGCTGAGAACAAACCCTTGTCCCTCCGAGACCAACCCTGCCAGCTCTGGAGTCCATGGCTGTGTCCCAGAGATGAGAGCAGGGCAGTTTACAAGGCAGTGTTTGGGAAAGAAAGATGCAGTAAAACCACTTAGACCATTGTGTCTGTGGGCCCTGCAGTTCATAAGTCTTCACAGTCACCAACATTTAAGTGGGTTCAAGGCCCATGGAAGTAGTTTTCAGCTCTTAGCCCTGTTGCAAGTTGCAGAAGAGGCTGGGAGAATTATACCTCCATCTCCAGCTCCCCAACTCATACAAATATTATCAACATTTTCAAGGCACTGAAGGGGATGCCTGGGAATACAGAGGTGACCCCAGTTACTCAGAACACAGGTGCACCGATTTTACTGCATATTGCTTCACTGTGCCTCACAGATACTGTATTTTTTTCAAACTGAAGGTGTGTGGCAATCCTGCCTCAAGCAAGTCTATCGACACCATTTTCCCAATGGTATTTGCTCACTTTGTATCTCTGTGTGACATTTTGGTAATTTTTGAATATTTCAAACTTTTTCAGTAGTATCATATTTGTTATACTGATCTCTGGTGATCTTTGATGTTCCTACTATGACCCAAAAGCTCACATGATGGTGAGCATTTTTTTTTTAGCAATTTAGACATCATACTATTTCATACTTAATAGACTATAGGATAGTATAAACATAACTTTCGTATGTATTGCAAATTGAAAAATTACTGTAACTCACTTTATTGCAATATTTGCTTTAGTGCAGTGGTCTAGAACCCAACCTGCAATGTCTCTGAGATATGCCTGTAGTTCCTACATCACTGTTGAAGTTTTCCCTCTCAACTCTACCAAGGAGGGAAACAACAGATTCACCAAGTCTAAAATTTACTTCAGGGTACAAGCAGCAAGACAGGAAAGGTCCGTTTAAGGGTTGCGATAGCTTTTCACATCCATTTGCCCTTTGTTACCCAAACCTCAGTCAGAAGTACACCAGACGGGACTTTCCTAGTGGTCTAATGGCTAAGACTCTGTGCTTCCAATGTACGAGGCCCGGGTCAGGGAACTAAATCCCACATGCCACAGCTAAGAGTTTGCATGCTGCAACTAAGATCCTGCATGCCACAATGAAGACTGAAGATCCCAGTGCCACAACTAAGACATGGTGCAGCCAAATAAATAAAATTTTTAAAAAGCCCACTGGAGAGGTGAGTGTGAAGAAGGGAAGCATGGGGGAGGGCAAGGCTCACAGGCAAATGGGTACTTGTGTTTCATTGTTTCAAGAGCTGTTTTGCCATTCTTTCCAGAAAGAAACATGGATAAGTCAAGCTCTAAGGAAAGGCCCACATCTCAAGATCACTCAAATTTTCATCAAAATTTATTCATACTTGGTAGGTTCTAGGTTTCTGGGAATGTATCCATTTCTTCTAGCTTGGCCAATGTGTTGGCATATAATTGCTCGTAACAGTCTCTTATGATCATCTATGGTTCTGTGGTATAAGTTGTAACTTCTCTTTCACTTCTGATTTATTTATTGGAGTTCTTTTTTCTGGGTGAGTCTAGCTAAAGAGCTGTCTGTTTTATCTTTCCAAAAAACCAGGTCTGAGCTCCATTGATCTTCTCTATTGTCTTTTTAGACTCTACT